TTAGAAAAATTCATTGGGCTTCATTAAAATTAAGTATCGGTCACAAAGACTAAACAACAGATGGTATCCGCTAATACAGGAAAATACTTTCTTATGAGGAGATATCACGGTGTCTGGTGTGCGAACTCTAACATCTTTAACCAAGTTCCTCTTTTTTTTTTTTTTTTTTTGCAGTTACTGGCTGGGGCCAGGTTTGAACCCACCACCTCCAGTAGTTGGGGCTGGCACCCCACTCCTTTGAGCTACCAGTGCTGCCCATAAGTTCTACTCTTTTCATCTCAAACGTTTTAGCGTCTCGGCAGGACTATTCTTCAATGAAATTTAGCTGAGATTCTTGTACATATAAACATATTTCAGTTACTCATGTTAGTTGGATAGTAAATAAATGTGCATGCCAATTTTTATTTTACACTTCTACTAGAAAGCACATATATTCTGGCGTTTAACATGAATTGTTCTCTGCCAAGTGTGCCTTTACTGTAGCATAACCTATCATACTTGCATTGAGATGCCACATTTTAGTCATAGTTAAAAAAAAAAAAATCCTGCATTCAGCATAAAGAAAGTAGACCTGAATTATTTCAGTAAATGACTTACTTTCCCCGAAGTTTCAAGCATGAGTCTCCCATTCTGGTTTTTCCTATATTCAGATTACAATTCAGCAACAATTTCCCTGTCATATTCACTGTCACACAGAAAATAAAAAATGCTTCGACCTTGCCAAGGTGTTCAAATTCTTTGTGACAGGTTCTTGTGTGAATAACCCTGGTAGAAAATTTCCTGAGACTCTTCTTTTGATTGGTTTAGGATACTGAGTACTGCTGAAAGAAAAAAAAAAATTCTAAATTTTTGGATTATTTCTATTAATTTATTAATTTTTCCATGTTTCAAGATACAATGTTCTGAAAATATACCCATAATGTTGATTTTGTACATATTATTTGATTATATATTTATAGCATAACAATTATGAAGTTGGATTTTGTAGAATATAATTTTTTAAATATTTAAGTGATTTCCCCTGAAGTCTGCAAAACCATTTTTAGAATTGGTATTTCTTTCAAATGTGTCGGCTATTAGTTTGTAGGACTTCTTAGTTTATTAGGAATAGTAATGTTATGACTGAATTAGAAAAGCTTTCCTAATCACTGAAAGGTCTTTGAAAGCTCCACAGTAATTATATCTTGTAATTATCAGAAAATAAAGTCCCCAAATCATTTTGACAGTCAAGCACTTACTGGTTCTGAGCCTGCAGCTATGTGTGGATAGGATTAGCTGCTAATTATAGGGAGGGAAAATAATTAAGGTGAAATAAATTTTTCATTTTCAATAGAATATGATATTTAAAATAAGGATGTTTCCAGGCCTTACCAATGCATTTCTAGAAGTCTGGAGGATGGAGTATGGTTGCATTTTAAAAATCAATGTTGAAGAAGTTAAAGAATGAGTTTCAAATATATTTTCTTGCTTTTTTTTATTAAATCATAGCTGGGTACATTAATGCAATCATGGGGTACAATGTGCTGGTTTTATATAAGATCTGAAATGTTTCCAGCAAACTGTTTAACACAGCTTTCACAGCATTTTCTTAGTTATTGTGCTAAGACATTTATGCTCCACAACTAGTAAATTTCACCTGTACCCTTGTAAGATGCACCGTCCATGTGTTCTCACTAATTTCCTCCCCTCCCATTCCTCTTTCCCCTTTTTCTGGGGCTATAATTGGGTTATAATAGTTAGGTTCTGATGAGTGGCTTAGTTTCACTGTGCCAACTAGTTTATCGAATTGATTGAATTATGAAGCATGGACTGACAAATAAACAAATGGTAGTAATTAATGAACAAATAATTATTGCCAGATTATTTGTTAGGCTGCCTTGTACAATGTACTTGTTTTCATGGTAAATTTTCCACTTTTGCATTCCAGCATTAGGAAAACAATTACCTAGACCACTTTTTCCCAAAATATCTTCACTTAACACAAGTTTTGCTAACAAAAATGACTCATATATCATAAAATCATCAAATACATTTTGAAAATTCTTGGTAAAGTAAAATTATGTTTATTAGTGAAAGGATTTGGCATGTCTTTTTTATTCATTGTAACACTTCGTTTGCAGATGACGTTATGCAGAATTTCTCCAGTTTACTCCACTGGAGGTTGAGAGATCCCTGGAACACATCTTGTGACATATTGATGTAGATTTCTTCCTCTTACATACTTTATTGTTCAAGCAAACAAATTAATCGATGTAACAGTAATTTCCACAAGTTTTCACCTGTTCAATTTCTTTATGCTTTGTAATGTCATTTCAATACTCTATGTTATGTTCACTACAGCAGTATTTCTCAAATGTGTTTTTTTGTTGTTGTTGTTGCAGCCATCATTGTTGTTTGGCAGGCCGGGCTGGATTCGAACCCTCCAGCTCAGGTGTATGTGGCTGGTGCCATAGCCGCTTGAGCCACAGGTGCTGAGCCAAATGTGCTATCTTTTAACTACTACCATAGGCAAGTTTAA